GGTAGAACTTCTATATTTTACTCTGAAAATTAGATTTTCTTTTATTCAAAAATTGTAATTTGTAATACGTGTTAGAGTATTATAGAAAATATTTTTAAACTCTTTTTACATGAATTAATAAATATTTTTATATTTTAATAATTCCTATCTAATTAGATTAGCTTTTATTATAAACAAAACTAATCTAATAAAAAATATTTTTTATATTAATAATTCTTGTCTACTTAGATTTTCTTTTATTAAAAAACTTATAATAAATAAATAGGTAATTTGTGTTAGAGTTTAATATAAACTTTTTTAAAAACTCTTTTTATATCAATTAATAAATATTTTTTATTTTAATAATTATTGTCTAATTACATTTAGTTTCATTAAAAATCTAATAATAAATAGATAAATAGGTAATTTGTGTTAGAGTTTTTTAAAAACTCTTTTAAAACCTCTTTTAGTATTAGTTAATAAATAATTTTTTATATTAATAATACTTGTTTAATTTGGTTTCTTTTTATTAAAAAAACTCATAATATATTAGTAAACATGTAATTTGTGTTAGAGTTTTATAGAAACTCTATTAATAGAGTTTTATGAAAAATAAAATAAGTAATTTGTAATAGAGTTTTACAGAAATTATTTTATTTTCTTTAAATATTTACTTGTCTAATTAGATTTAATTTTATTAAGAAACTTATAGTAGAGTTATATAAAAATTATTTTCTTTTATATATCAATTAATAAATATTTTTTATATTAACAATTCTTGTCTAATTAGATTTATTTTATTAAAAAATTGATAATAATAAATAGATAAATAGGTTAAATTAAATTTTATTATGTAGATTTTAGTATTTTATAATATTATTTAATAAATATTTTTTTACATAAATAAATAAATACTGAAACTCTTTACACATTTAATAATAGTATAGATAAAAACTCTTTTTATAACAATTAATAAATATTTTTTTATATAAATAAATAAATACTGAAATTTGGCAGAACTTCTGTATTTTACTCTGGATTTCTAAATTTCTAAAATTATCACCCCTTCCTCCTTCCTCCATGCCTCTATTTATAAGGTTCTTGGATGAATAAGATAATGACATGTGTCCTTTTCTGATAATGACATAATTATAACTGGGCGGACCGGTTATGTTGTAATAATTATCCATAAAAAATAACTAAAAATAAGAGTTTTATATAGAATATGATTGATTTTATTAGGTAATTTTTAGATTTTTATAAAAATTATAATTATCCTTAAAAAAAAAACTAAAAATAAGAGTTTTATATAGAATGTGATTGGTTTTATTAGGTAAATTAGATTTTCATTTAATAAAAAACTTGTAATAATAAATAAATAGGTAATTTGTGTTGGAGTTTAATATAAACTCTTTTAAAAACTCTTTTAAAAACTCTTTTTATATCAATTAATAAATATTTTTTATTAAATAAATAGATAAATAGGTAATTTGTGTTTTAAAAACTCTTTAAAAACCTCCTTTTGTATCCGTTAATAAATATTTTTTTATATTAATAATACTTGTCTAATTAGGTTTCCTTTTATTAAAAAACTCATGATAAATTAGTAATTTGTGTTAGAGTTTTATATAAACTCTTTAAATATATCTTTGTTGATAGAGTTTTATTGATAATAAAATAGGTAATTTGTAATAGAGTTTTATTGAAATTATTTTATTTTCTTTAAATATATACTTGTCTAATTAGTTTTAGTACTCATAATAAAAGCTAATTTGTGGTAGAGTTTTATAAAAATTATTTTATTTTATATATCAGTTAAAAAATATTTTTTATATTAATAAATCTTGTCTAATTAGATTTTCTTTTATTAAAAATGGATAATAATAAATAGATAAATAGGTTAATTTAAATTTTATTATGTAGATTTTACTGTTTTATAGATTTTTTTTTATTTTTCATTTTTTAGTAAAAACTCTTTTCATATCATTGTATTTTACTCTGAAATTCTGGATTTCTAGAATTCTCAATTTATGTACCCCTTCCTCATTCCTCCTTCCTCCATACCTCTATTTATAGGCTTCTTGGATAAATAGGATGATGACATGTGTCCTTTTCTGATAATGACATAATCATAATTGGGCCGGGCCGATTATATTATGATAATTATCTATAAAAATAACTAAAAATAAGAATTTTATATAGAACGTGATTGATTTTATTAGGTAATTTTTAGAGTTTTATAGAAACTATAATTATCCATAAAAAATAACTAAAAATAAGATTTTTATATAGAATGTGATTGATTTTATTAGGTAATTTTTAAAGTTTTATAGAAACTACTTGATTTTATTAGGTAATTTTAGATTTTTATAAAAACTATAATTATCCATAAAAAAAAAACTAAAAATAAGAGTTTTATATCGAATGTGATTGGTTTTATTAGGTAAATCAGATTTTCTTTTATTAAAAAACTTGTAATAAATAAATAAATAGGTAATTTGTGTTAGAGTTTAATACAAACTCTTTTAAAAACTCTTTTTATATCAATTAATAAATATTTTTTATTAAATAAACAGATAAATAGGTAATTTGTGTTTTAAAAACTCTTTAAAAACCTCCTTTTGTATCAGTTAATAAATAATTTTTTATATTAATAATACTTGTCTAATTAGGTTTCCTTTTATTAAAAAACTCATGATAAATTGATAAATTGGTAATTTGTGTTAGAGTTTTATACAAACTCTTTAAATATATCTTTGTTGATAGAGTTTTATTGATAATAAAATAGGTAATTTATAATAGAGTTTTATTAAAATTATTTTATTTTCTTTAAATATATACTTGTTTAATTAGTTTTAATACTCATAATAAAAACTAATTTGTGGTAGAGTTTTATAAAAATTATTTTATTTTATATATCAATTAATAAATATTTTTTATTTTAATAAATCTTGTCTAATCATTTTTTTTTAATTAAAAATGGATAATAATAAATAGATAAATAGGTTAATTTAAATTTTATTATGTAGATTTTACTGTTTCTATAGATTTTTTTTTTTTTTTTTTTTGTTTTAGTAAAAACTCTTTTCATGTCATTTAATAAATATTTTTTTATATAAATAAATAATGAAACTCTTTACAGATCTAATAATAATATAGATAAAAACTCTTTTTATATCAATTAATAAATATTTTTTAATATAAATAAATAAATACTGAAAACTCTTGACAGAGCTTTTGTATTTTACTCTAAAATTCAACTCAATTAATAAATATTTTTTATATAAATAAATAAATACTGAAATTTTTTGGCAGAGTTTCTGTGATTGATTTTATTAGATAATTTTTAGATTTTTATAGAAATTATAATTATCCATAAAAAAATAACTAAAAATAAGAGTTTTATATAGGCTGTGATTGATTTTATTAGGTAATTTTTAAAGTTTTATAGAAAATATTTTTACAAAAACTATTTTTATATCAATTAATAAATATTTTTTTATATAAATAAATAAATACTGAAATACTGAAACACTAAAACACTTTGTACATTTAATAATATATATATATATATATATATATATATATATATATATATTATTTTTTTTCCGAATGGTCTCATCTTTTCATTTTTTTGTTAAATCTAAAAAAATCATGTTTTAATTCTTTTTTTTTTTTGCAATTACCTTAATTATAAAATTTGATGGTATTGATAATCTTAAATTTAAAAAATGAAATAGTCATAGATTGGTATCCTAGAAAAAGAAAGAATAGGTTTTGATTGTGACAGTTAAATTTAATTTAACATTTGACATATAAAGTGTGAATAAATTCTTTTGAATTAAGACTCTCATAAATAACACCCGTATGGCCGTAACTCTTTGCAATAATAGACATTTTTATTAATGTGATCATGACACTCATGTTCATCTTTTAAGTCAAATATTCATCAACACCTTCATCAGTGCTTTTAAATTTTCATTTGAAAGTCAAGCCAAATAATAAGGTAATTTGGTAGGCCCTTTGAAGAATTTAAACACACAAGAATGTTTTCTTAATTTCTTAAGGAGGGTCGATTTTTCTAGTTTTAATTAATATAATTATATGTTGGCCATAAAAAAATAATAAATAACTAACAACAACAGAGTTATCTTATTAATCTTGAAGAAAATGTGAAAATTACATGAGAGCTACCAAAAAAAAAAAAAACTCACAAATATACAGAGAAAAAGAGATCTTATGAGCAAATAATTACACATATGAGAGCTACAAATTGCAATTAAGAATTCGAAAAATAGCTAACTGAACACCAATAATCTTTACAAAACTAAGGGGATAATCTAATGACAACTCTTTTATTGGGGGCTGCAAGTGCTTAGTAGTAAATTATGGGATGCTCCGATAAGTCTAACACTTCCATTACCGACAAACAAATACAATATTTTTTTCTTATTATGATTTATGACTACTTACATGCCCACTTTTGCCCGTGTAAAAAACTTAAAAAGTGAAAAATATTATTAAACTAATATATATAATTGTACATATGTGATATATAACTATTTTCAAGCATCGGATTTAACAAGCTAACTGCTTGACTAGAAAACTATAAATAAAACAAAAAACATTTTAAAATTTTGTTTTAATGACAGTTTTAATAACTATTTTTTAATACTGTTAAAACAATGTGTTTTTTTTTACCTCTGCTTTGGGCTCAATTTCATTAAACTTTAACAAAAGTAGGCCCAACCGAATTCCCTACACAGCTTTATCTCATTTCCCATCCTCCCTTTCATTTCATTTTCCAACTTCTTGGACGCACTCACTCTACAAGAGGCTGAAAATAGAAAAGCATCGGAAGCTGAGTTTGATGGTAACGTAAACATATATACATATATATATATATTGGTTGTGATAGAATCTACATGATCGTTACCAATTTTTTTTTTTCGATAATTGCATATTTTTCGCACTAAGTTCCTAATTTGGAGATTTTGCATGATTCAATTAAGTTCGAGTCTTTTTAGAATTCAATTGCGGCTTCATTTTCCATATTGTTTCATTCTTCCGTTTGGTTGCTGAGAAATTTGAGGCAAAGAAAAGAAAAAAGTTCGAATTTTGTGTCTGTGTGTTTATTGGTTTCCAACATGTCAAAAGCTCACCTGAATTAAACTAAGTAGTTATTGGAAATTTGTCTTTTGGGTTTTGAGTAGTGCGAAATCTGCTATTGGTTTCTCGTTTCCAACCTAAATTGAAAAAATCAAGGTCAGAGGAATGCACATCAGTTAGCAGAGTGGGATTCTGTAGATATTGCTTGGATTTGTCTATGGTCAGAGGAGTATGATTATGGTTCAGATTGTAATCAATATGACTATTAACACGATCAAGACACTATTTGGGTAAAGCTAATCGAAGCTTTGATTGAGTGTAAACTGGTTTTGTAATTGGTGTCCTGGAGTTGTTTAATTTGTAGTTAAAATTTAGCATGAATTATTGTATATTATGTGAAAAATCAAGCTGCTTTAAGCAAGATGTGAGTGTTAGTCTGCCTAGTTTCTGTATTCCACTTAAATTGCATTGATGTTAAAGTTCAGGTATGCTTTTAGCAACTGGACATGAATGACTGCAATCTGCAGTAGTTTCAAACAAGTTGAAACTTGTTATACCGTTAGGAACCGGTAGTGGCACCTAGGGTTGGGGTGTACTGTACAATGTTATGAATCATATGATTAACTTAAGTATCATGTGCTTGAAATCATATAATTATCTTTTACTTAAAAAAAGAAGAAGGGATTTCATTGTGTGAGGAGAGGAGAATTGGAAGTTTGGCTGCGACAGGCTGTAGAGTGTAGAATAGGGTTCATGATATATGCTACACATACCGGAAAGGCCCTAAGGAAAGGTGTAAAAGGTGCAGGAGTAGGATGAAAGAAAGGTGAGAGGAAGGAGAGGGTGACCGTCTGTAAAAGAAGGTTACATAGAAGATAGGTTTATTCACAGTTAGGAGAGAGGATAGACTTCAGAGCCTATGACTGGGTGAGAGCTGTTGCAAAGTATAATTTAGAGGATTTAGAGGCAGTGGACATACCCCACAACACCCCCCCCCCCGCCAAAACAAAAAAAATGGAGGGGTTCCCATGAAATCATCTCAGCGTTCCATTGTACTTCTCAGCAAGTCAGCGGTATTTGACCATGAGGCAATTAGCCACATTCCTACATGTTTTGTGGCCATCTTAATAATTCTGCAGGACATTGCTGATCTTTACCAATCACCTCCTGATGAACCCCCAACTCAAGCCACCATACGACATAATCCCAAGTTTTTCATTAACAAAAGCAATGAAAAATCCTAGACTACCTCATGCGACAACGGTCATGGCTTGTGAGCACTACAAAGTAAGAGGAAAGACTATGGTACAATCCTGTGTATTACTTTGTGGTTATACTGGATCTCGTTGTACTCCAGTATACACAACACAACCATGTAACCAGAGAGTAATGTTACAACACACCATAAATGGGTAATTAGGATCATGCCTTGGATGATCATGGTATTGGACAGTTCCCCTCTTGTCATGTCTGCAGAAGTCTAGTCATTACTTGACCTCAGCAAGCATAGCGAGTGCCTAAGATATAGACGCACTGATCACCTCTATGGAACTATCAACTATGTCATAATCCTGGGGCTATAGCAATCTTACAAGACAATCATATTTGCCAAGGTTGCGTTCGTTTTCCTGTTCTACACTATAACCATCCATCAGCTCAAAGAGCTTCCCAGACACTGCTTTCTGATCTGGGTGAAAGCAGAGCATCTGAGCTAAAGCAATCTTTTATTCTTTCCCAGTTATTGGTCCTACCTCTGTCAACCATATCAACACCAAAAACGGCATAAGCGTAAGGTGAGTCATTTCAGGAACCGTATATGCATCATATATAGGCTGTTATCATGAGGCTTATGCCTCAATATCCCTCAGTACTCGGAGCATGTGTACACCTTGTTGGGACTAGAGAGAGAGAGAGAGAGAGAGAAAGATAACACAGTGGATACATAATGTGTATTTCATACATATCAAACCCTAGTACAGTGGCTTATATAGAGTACAGGTCTCAGCTAATTATACAATGACCCTACCAACTATATGTAATTACATAATGACCCAAAATATTCTAACACTCCCCCTCAAGCTGGAGAGTATATATCAAATAATCCCAGCTTGGAACAGATAGTCCTTAACCGATTATGACCCAATGCTTTGGTAAATATATCAGCTAACTGATCTTCAGACTTCACAAATGGAGTAGAGATGCTCCCACTTAATATTTTTCCTCGAATGAAGTGACAATCAACTCCAATATGTTTGGTCCTCTCATGAAACACAGGATTTGATGCAATGTGAACAGTTGCTTGATTATCACAGAACAATGGAGTAGGAGTTTCAACTGTCAACCCAAGTTCTTTTAGAAAATGTTGTATCCAAGTCAACTCACTAGTTGTATGGGTCATTGCCCTGTACTCAGCTTCAGCACTAGATTAAGCTACCACCGTTTGCTTTTTACTTTTCCATGTAACAAGATTTCCTCCTACAAATGTACAGTAGCCTGTAGTAGATCGCCTATATGATGAAGAACCAGCCCAGTCAGCATCTGAAAAACCTTCCACCCTGAGATGACCATTTGATTTATACAGTAACCCAAAACCTGGAGCTTGCTTGAGATATCGGATAATCCGAAGAACAGCAACCCAATGTGGCATTCTAGGAGCTCCCATGAACTGACTTACAACACTAACTGCATATGAAATATCAGGTCGAGTGATAGTGAGATAAATTAATTTCCCAACAAGGCGACGAAGTTTGCCCGGGTCATTAAATAGATCACCCTTATCAGACACAAGTTTTGTATTTGAATCCATAGGAGCATCAACTGAACGACCACCCAACATACCTGTTTCTTCTAACAAGTCCAACACATATTTGCGTTGAGATAAACTTATACCCTTCTTGGATCTAGCAACTTCAATACCCAAGAAATACCTAAGTTTACCCAAGTTTTTAGTATGGAATCGATTTTGCAGAAACAACTTCAACTTAGCAATGCCTTCAGAATCATCACCCGTGATCACAATATCATCTACATACACCACAAGAAAAATGAAGCCAGCTTTAGTGCGCTGGTGACATACTGAATGATCGGTCTGGCACCTGTTAAGACCAAATTCTAATGCCGCCTCAGAGAATTTTCCAAACCAAACCCGTGGAGATTGTTTCAATCCATACAGGGCCTTTTTAAGGCGACAAACAGTGTGACGATACTCCCCTTGAGCAACAAACCCAGGTGGTTGCTCCATATAAACTTCTTCAACTAAGTCACCATGCAAGAAGGCATTCTTGACATCTAATTGAAACAAAGGCCAGTGACAATTGGCAGCAATGGAAATAAGTACTCGAATAGAAGAAATCTTAGCAACAGGAGAAAAGGTCTCATCGTAGTCTATACCATAAGTCTGAGTGTACCCTTTTGCCACCAGACGAGTCTTCAACCGTTCAATAGACCCATTGTGAAGGTATTTAACAGTATAGACCCACTTATAACCAACCGTTTTGGAGCCCGGAGGTAAGGGAACAAGATCCCAAGTCCGATTACGGTGCAGGGCATCCATTTCATCTACCATGGCGTTACGCCAATCCGAATTAGAAAGAGCATCTTGCAAAGCCTTGGGAACAAACGTAGCAGACATTTTGGATAAAAAACAAGATAAAGAGGAGGAAATATTATGGTAGGAGACAAAGTTAGAAATGGGATGTGCAGTAACACACGACCGAATACCTTTACGGAGAGCAATGGGCAAATCATCAGGTAAAGGCGTTGGATCCGAAGACTCTGAAGGAGATGAAGGGAGCGAAGTAGGTGGTCGAGGTCGTCGAGTATAAACCTGCAAGGGGACAACAGAGCGAGGAGGTGGGGAAGCAGGAAGCAGAGAGGAAACAGTTGGCATAGGTAGCGCTAGAGTAATATCGAGAGGGGTAGTAGAATCAGAAAAAAAATGGGAGAGACTAAGAAAAGTAGACATCAGCACTAGTGAAATAGCGCTGAAAATGAGGACTGTAGCAACGATAACCCTTCTGAGTGCGAGAATACCCAAGAAAAACACACTTAGTGGCACGAGGGTCGAGTTTGTCAAGATCGGGCCCAATGTTATGGACATAACACACACATCCAAAGACCCGAGGAGTAAGATTAAACGATGCGGAGTCGGGAAATTATACAGAATGAGGAGACTGCCCTTTTAACACTGACGAAGGCATCCGATTAATAAGATGACAGGCTGTAAGAACAACATCACTCCAAAAACGTTTGGGAACATGCATATGGAATAAAAGGGCACGACATACTTCGAGGAGATGACGATTTTTACGTTCAGCTACTCCATTTTGTTGAGGAGTATAAGTACAAGATGATTGATGAATGATGCCTTTAGCATGAAAATAAGTCTCAAACGGGTCCGAGAAATATTCTTTGGCATTGTCAGAACGTAAAACTTTAATGGAACATCCAAATTGAGTTTTGATTTCTTTACGAAATATTTGAAAAATAGAGAATAACTCAGAACGATTTTTCATTAAAAACAACCAAGTCCTACGAGAATGATCATCCACAAAAGTCACAAAATAACGAAATCCATTAAGAGAAATATGTTTTATTGGGCCCCATACATCTGAATGAATTAACTGAAAAGGACTAGCAACACGATTGGTAGCTCTCGGTTTGAAAGATACACGACAATGCTTACTAAACTGACATGCTTCACAAGGCATGGACTTAACACGACTAAGACTAAGACTGGGGACTTGACGCTGCAAAACTGATAAGGATGGGTGGCTGAGACGACAGTGCCACTGGAAAGGAGACAAAGATGATTGAAGAGCCGTGGGAGTTGGCCCAATATCAAAGTAATACAAGCCACCTACTTCATGTCCCGTACCAATCTTCTTCATCGTCTTGAGATCCTGAAAAATACACACGAGGGATAAAATGTAACGGAGCAATTAAGAGATTTAGTAATTTGACTAATGGACATCAAATTAAAAGGGAATTGAGGAATAAATAATACAGAGGAAAGGGACATAGAGGACGTGAGTTGGGTGGTTCCCACACCCAAAACTTTAGTGGAGGAGCCATTAGCAAGAGTAACACTTTGTGATGAAGAAACGGACTGAAAATCAGATAAGAGATGAGAACTACCAGTCATGTGATCGGATGCGCCAGAGTCAAGAATCCAGGGACTTTGACGAGAGGATAAGAGACATGCAGGTGCACTACCTGATTGGGCAAAGGAAACCATGGAAGATGAGGTGGAAGGCCGTTGTTGAGACATAAACTGAGCATACTCATCGCGGGAAACTGTCATGATAACCATAGCAAGCTCAACAGCCACTTGTGGAGCAGCCACTTGTGAAGCATTTGGTGTGGCAGAGAAAGAAGAATCCCCTTCATTAGAGGTTACTTGATGTGCGTAGGAAGAAGGTGGTGGTTTCCCATGAAGATCCCAACAGTAATTGACAGTGTGATTAGTAAGACCACAGTGAGTGCAGAGTTTTGAGTCTCTGCCTCTACCTCGACCACGACCACGACCACGACCACGACCACGACCACGAGTAAACCAACCGCCACCGCCACGAGAAGGCTGATAACCACCCTGGGTCACAACTAATGCAGAATGTTCACTGCTAGGAGGAGCAGAGACACCACTTGAAGCACTCCCAGAAGTGCCACTAGATAAAGTAGCACGCTGGAGTCTGGAGAACATATCAGGAAGAGAGGGAAGTGTAGGGCTACCCAAAATCTGTGCACGAACTGATTCATATTCAGGTGACAATCCCGTGAGAAACCAAACAACATTAAAATCCTCACGTTGTTGTTGCATGCTCTTTACATCAGAGGTGATAGGCTGATACAAGTTCATTTCTTCACAAATTCCCATTGACTGGGAGAAGTATTCTGCAAGACTATGAGTACCTTGCCGGAGGTCAAAGAATTGTCTGCACACCTCATAAATTCTGGTGATATTACCAGTACCTGAATATAGCTGTTGGAGGCGATTCCATATCTCCTTGGCAGTATCCAAATACAACAGGTGGGAACTGATATCTTGTTCAATACAATTCAGCATTAAGGAAATGATCTGAGCATCCCTTTGGTCCCATGAACTGAAATCTGCATCACTTTCTTTAGGCTTATCCTTAACCAAATGAGAGCCAAAGCCTTTGGCTTTCAGAAAAATAGCTACGGACTTGGCCCATAAAATATAGTTCTTGCTATTGAGCTTGACAGAAGTCATGGGAGGATTGAAAGAAGCAGAAGAAAACAGGTTGGAACCGGTAGCAGCCATGGAGAAGGACAAACAGAGAAGAAAACTGAACCTGGGGAAAAAAAAACTGAATCCGGATCTGGGCAGGCGGGCCGGATCTGGGTAAACGGGTCGGATCTGGCAACCGGGCCGGATCTGGGCAAACGGGTTTGGATCTGGGCAACCGGGCCGAATCTGGGCAAACGGGTTTGGATCTGGACAAACGGGCCAAATCAAAACCAGTTCTCTGCTATTCCGGTTTTAGTAATCCAAGGTTGGAATAACTTCACGCCTGCAGCCAAACACCACTTTTCTCCTTCACAATCAGCGCCGGCAAGAACTAGATCTATGCCACCGACCATAAACTCCAATCACCCAAGGTTCGCAATGAAGAATCAAGGCTAGTACACACCCTAGCCCTTGCAACGGTGACGACGGCAACCCAACACAATCGGCGATTTAACAACCAAGCAGAGAGGGTTCGCGATGATGCAACCTCTGCAACTTGCGACAACCAAGTCAGCCTCGGCCTACAAAACGAAGGGCTTCAGATTTGAGAACGACAGACAAGAAGCTTTAAACCTTCGACAGCTTCAAACCTCCGATCGCCAAACCAGAACGACGGCCAAACCTGTCGCGAAGAACAGAATCAACTTCGATCTCGATTCTGATTTGTAGAAGAACACCACAGATGCAATCACAACCATAGTCTTAGTTTTCCCATTGTTTCGTACCGCTCTGATACCATGTTGGGACTAGAGAGAGAGAGAGAGAGAGAGATAACACAGTGGATACATAATGTGTATTTCATATATATCAAACCCTAGTACAGTGGCTTATATAGAGTACAGGTCTCAGCTAATTACACAATGACCCTACCAACTATATGTAATTACATAATGACCCAAAATATTCTAACACACCTCAACAATCATTTACAATGTAAAGGAAGGCAGCAAATGCTGCAAATAGTAATGGTGTGATCTTGCTATTTATTACTTGCCTTCATTGATCTTGCTATTAACACATACATATCAAATACTTAATAGACACATTCCGGACAGTTAATTAACACATCCTACACTCTCAAATATGAGTTTAAAATATAAAAATTTAATATAAACACATGTGTGCTCATTGATTTGTGTCGTACATTCCCTAACTTTATTATCTCTCTCTCAGCCTCTCATCTATACCTCTACGTTGTTACTTCTACCTTTTGTGGTAGTAATTTCTTCTAATACAGCCATTCTTTGTGAATCATAAATCTTAATATTGCTTCAAGTTTATTGCCTTTTAGTCAAAGATGTCATTTTACATTGTTGATAATTCCAATAGTGGAAGACTCTTTTAGCTTACCATGTACAATATCTTCTACTAAGGTAAGGTCAAAGGTACATGTTGATTCTGATCTGCAGTGCGCATATCATCTGAAAGAAATTATGTTTGTTAAGATGATATATTGTTCGGTGAAGTTTCCCAGTACCTTGGTCAAAAGTTTTTTGATATTCCAAAATCACCAAAAATGCATCCATCTGTTTAGCTTATATTTGGCCTTCCTTTTCATTAATCAGTTGTTTATATTCATTGATGAAATGAAGATACTTGGCTGAAATTTTTTTGTCGTACTTTACTCTATTGGTCGTTCTGTATCAATATAGTGGATGGAGTGAACTACTCAAAAAGTGTTTTTCTCTATTCTGATGTATTTCTGGGTAGTCCACCATTGCAACACCTAGTTCTACTCGTTTGCGTATGCCTGCACCTATTTACAACCTTTTGTACTTTGAAAACAGCACCAAATTTCTATTGAATTGGTTTTTATTTTCCAAAACCCCCACCGGTTTCATGAATATGCTTGGATTAGTTTGTTTTCTCATTTGGGAATATAACTGGGCCAATGGGGCTTTAAAGATCAAAACCATGTGTCATGCTATTTTACTAGAACTGAAGATATATGAGAGCTGGTTCCACTTCACTGTTTGGGGATTTGGCATGAGGATTCTACATAAATGTTCAGTAGCTTAATTACTCAATACGACAGTAAAAGAAGTCAAATTTACTCAATAATTATCCGCTAATTCCTATTGCAGGTCCAAATGATCATAAAGGGATTATTCAGGAGATATGAAAGATGGAACCCAGTGCATCCGACATCTGGAGCCTTCTGGGGTATGGGAATTGGCCTTGGTTGTGGGGTTGGATGGGGTCCTGGCTTTGGTCCTGAGGTGATTGGGTATGTTGGAGCTGGCTGTGGTGTTGGATTCAGTGTTGGAATCACTCTGGCTGGTTTTGGCATTGGTCTTCCTGCAGATTTCGTCTTTGAAGTTCCTTACAATGGTTCGCTTCTATTTTTGTAATTCATTTATTTTGAATATGATCCACAATCTGTTGCTAACAGTGAGTTATCTTTTATGCTTCCATTCGAAACAACAAAATATTGGCATGTTTGGGAGTTTAAGTTTGTCCTTGTTTGCTTGGTTGATGCCCAAGTGTGCATATATCTTTGCAAGTTTTTAATTGTGGCATTGTGCCCAAATCTAATCAGCACCTTTTCTTTCTCCAGCTTTTAGGGCTACAAGGAGTGGTGCATTGCAGTTGGCCAGATCCAGTGGTCTACTTACTTCAAAATATGTTGCAGGGGATGGTTGGAGTAGTATTGAACCACACATCTCTGGCCTGCAAAGACAAGCCAGTGGAACATTTTCTAGCTTCAAGCATAAACGTTTCTTGGACAACAGGGTAGATCTGTCTGATATGAAGAATAGAATTTCTTTACAGACAAGGTCTTTTTTTGATCATATCACAAAGTGCAGCGGTAACTTGCTCCATCCTCACAAAGGTATGCTAACAAATGCATCTCACCTTTATGTACTTTTTAAGGGAACAATATTTGCTTGCAAGTTTATGATTACAATAACCTTTATCATTCCACTGTTTGCAATTTCGGTTTGTTACTTGCCAAACCTCAGTGTCTTCCTCTACAATTAGATTTACCAATAGTTATACCTGTGCTCTTTTCCACAGTAAACCAAGCATACAATGAATTTTGTTTTATGTTAAAGCACAAATGATAAGAAGAAGAATTATACAAACCTGGTAAAAGAGAGAAAAAACTAGATACCTTAATCATATATTAAGTGCATAAAGGGTGAGGACTAAGGGTTTTGGTGAAAGATGATAAGTATATAGATGGAAAAGTTGCTTTAGACACTGTTGGAGATAAATTGAGAGAGAATCATTTTTAAATGGTTTGGCCATTTTCAGAATACCTCTATGGCCACTAACTGCACAGACTATATTGATTGTTCTTTTAGGGAAATGGAAAAATCAAAATTGACCTAGGTTGAGATCATAGCAAGTAAAAAGACATGATTCTGTGTGGTTGAAATCATGGCCTTAGACCGAGTAAATGATGAAAATGATTCATGTAGGTGAGCCTCAAATAGTAGAATAAAGCTACGTTGAGTTGAGTTGAGTCGAGTCGCTTTCCACCGTTAGTATCGAAGTCTGGATAAAACTACCATGTGTACCATATTCTTTTGGTCTCAAATATTTTCTTTACAAAATATTAATTCTTAGGGAGGCAATATTCATACACCAAAGAGAGAGAGAGAGAGAGAAAGATAGAGAGACTTCAACAGTCCACTATATGGTTGATGCATATATTTTTAATTGTAACAGGGAAAGGAATGAGGGAGGCTGCCTTTTGGATTGTGATATAAATTCCCAGATCTAAATCCTTGCAAGCCTGCACTCATTTGTTATCCTAATTGCAATTTTCTTTGATGCATTTAAGTTTTTCTCAGCTTTCCAATTTAGTCCTTGTTTGATCAATAAACTGGAAGAAAAATTAACATATACATCAACAACTTGCAGGTTTGAAAGATTAATGCCATGGAAGATTCTCAGCAATGTTTCCATGCTGTGAGTATTCTGAACATTTGATATTGCCTTATTCTTTTGAACATTTGCAACAATAATATAAATTGTATGTGATTTACAAGAGTCTTCTTTGCTTGTAAAATTAATATTAAAAATTGGCATCCAATTTTCTTCCTATATCTGAAGACCTCAAGCTCTAGATGTACACCAGGCAGCATAAAGTGTTCACCAGCTTTACAATTTTAATTAAAAACTAATTAAAAGTAAAAGGAAAACCTAATCTGAAGTAATTAACATCTGGAGTAGCAGGTGATACACTATATATCTTAAGAACAAAGAACATTTTTTAATATTTGTATGTGTCGTTGATATACCACAATGTCAAACATCTATATAATATTATTAGCATTTCTGACATTTAGCATGTTTTGATCAGAGGTTGGAAGGATGGGAAAGTGAATCATAAGCAAAATGACTTCACAATACTGTTAATAAATCAGGAACTAATAGTAATATGGAAAATCTACCAACAAAACCTTAGCTTAAGTGTTTCGTCCTCCACCTTCGCAGTAGGGGTGGTTGAGGGTTCAAGGCCATTGGGGGCATATGCGTGAGTATATTTGACTTATCAAAAAAAAAAAAAAAAAAAAAAAAAAATGAAAGATAATAATTGGAAATTTTCAGAATAACTCAACTGATGAAATCAGGGACATTATGTGAACCAGATGTCATAATGCGTGCCACTTTATATCTTTTGTAATTCTTATACTAGTTCTCATCTTTCTATTAGATGTCCCTTTAATGTTGATGATGGTGGATGTGACTCACATGAGGCTGTGATGGTGTGTTGTAGGGGTTCTCTCTCTATTACTTCTGGGATGTGTATTTTTCGACCTGCCCCTCTAATCTAGTTTGCCGGCGAAGGCCTAAAACCTAAATAGGATGATTTTCTTTTCCCTTCATACAAGGTAAATATACTGCATTTCATCATTATTTGTATTTAAGTCAATGTATATCATCAGATCCCTTGAGCATGGAATGTTCTCCATTTTACAGCAAGTAAGACTGCATTTGTAAACAAGCTTAAAGTTTTCAGGAAGGAGAATCAATATTTCCTGAGAAATATATATATATATATATATTTGAAAGAATTCACATATTCAAATATAATCCAGAAATAAGTGAACAAATTAATAAGAAAATAGTTACAAAATTAATGGATCACAAGGTATAGATTTAAAATTATTTCCATATACTTGAGCCAAACAACAGATTTCAAATTCTTTTCATACATATTTGTATCCAAACAGCACATTTCAAAATACATGGATTTCAAATCTAGGTATACGAAAGTCACTCTCAAATCCAAAAATGTGATTGTTATAGAATTGAACGGGTTTAACTAGGGGTGTCTCAAAGGAATGATGTTCTAGTGGCTCGTCACAAGTGCACTTCATGTTGATTTTCATGTTGGAAATGCTTAGGCTTCTTTTGTGAAGAATCCTTGAGAGGGAAAGGAAAATGGGAGAAACTAATAGTGGGCTACTGGGCGTAATTTTCCTGTTGGAATTTTAGAAGAATATTGACGTTATATTTTGGAGCACCGAATTGGTGCTTTGGATTTGAAATTGGTGGAAATTTGGTTCAAAGTTTCAGCTAAATTTCTTTCAATTCCAAACCCAAACCACTGATTGGGTGTTCCTAGCAGAGGTCGATCACAAATAATAAAATTATGTTAGGCATTGGGTTGTATTCAGTGTATGTTAAGAAACCAGTGGTTGAATGCATTGCCAAGATGGAACCTTCAAGTCTTACAGATTAGTTGAGTTGAATCATACACAATACCCGTGGCTTAGGACTTAGGAGTGTTTAAAGTTTATGGAGGGATTAGTTGTCCAAAGAAAAAGTAAAAGAAAAAAGAAGGAAAAAGACAGAACCTTACTTAAAATAGTATAAAAATATAATATTTTTCTTTAATATTTTACTACATATTATAGGCTTTAATTCTTCTTGATACACACTCACACACACACACATATATATATGTATATATATATTTGGGAAATAAAATTGAAGTGGTTGTGACTTGTGTGTAGTGTGTAGGGAGGGATCTATTGGACTTTAAGATAGTCTAGAGGAGATTACCAACATTACATCAGCAGTAAAAATTCCAGTTTCAAATACTTCCAAAAAGCAAGCAAATCCTACAAATGCTTCTAAGCTACTATAACTAGTTACAAGAATCAATATATCACACCCAAAAAAAATAAATTAAATAAAAATAAAATCATGTAGCAGATAAAGTATATCAAATCTAATAGTACAATCAAGGAGATTAAAATTTCAGTTTGAAACAAAATGTCTTGGACTATGAAATTGTTATCTGGCCTCAATCACTGAAAGTGTTACATTATTCACCGAACAGTTTTCAGTATCACTAAGTGACGGATTTGTATTCATCACACGTGGGCAGGTAGAAAATGCAGGTTCCATAGGTGTTGGTATAGGTGCATATTCATTGCCAAGCATTGAGACAACATCAGACATAGTAGGTCGATCATTTGGATTTCCTTGGACACATAGAAGTCCTATATTAATGTATCTCAACAATGTAGTAGTAGAAGGATTACCCAATATTGGGTCCATAAACTCCATCCCTCTACCGGCACTCCACAACTTCCATGCCTGAAACATTCAATTTTATAATTTGTAAGCATCACGTACAGTATAATCTTAAATCATCAATTTTGCTAGATAAAAAAAGTTCAGCAAGGTATATTAGCTGCTTACATATCCAAGGAGGTTAACAGAGTCAGTGTGATAAAAACCAGTGTTCTTCTTGCCACTCACAATCTCAAGCAGCAATACTCCAAAGCTAAACACATCAGATTTTATCGAGAAAATGCCTTCCATTGCATATTCAGGAGACATATACCCACTAAATTTTAACATACAACAGAATCAGTTTGAGTGACTCGTAGTAGATGTCTTCAATGTATCATATATAAGTTGTGTATGTGTTAGCAAAGAAATTTTTTTTTTTACTTACTAAGTTCCAACAATACGGTTTGTGTTTGCTTGTGATTCATTACCACCAAAAATTCTTGCCAAGCCAAAATCAGATATTTTGGGGTTCATATCGCCATCCAGTAAAATGTTACTGGCCTTTAGATCTCTATGAATTATACGAAGCCTTGAATATTGATGTAGGTAAAGAAGTCCTTGAGCAATCCCTTCAATGATGCGAATTCGTGCAGTCCAATCCAACATCCCTTGTTTGTTTGGATCTGTCTTGGGTTACATGTCAATGAACATATATTGAACATATATCCAAGTTTAAACACCGATTAAATATGGAAAAACACTAACCAAATAGGAAGAAATCCAAACTTTTATTGGGCATATATTCATAGATTAATATGTTTTCATCTCGCTCAATGCAGCAACCCAAGAGTTTAACAAGATTCTGATGCTGGAGTTTGGCTATCAATACTGTCTCGTTTTTGAACTCCTGGAGCCCTTGTCCAGATCTTCCAGAAAGCCTTTTCACTGCAATTTCTTGTCCCCTGAGTAATTTACCCTGTTTAAGGAAAAAAAATGAAGCTGCTTGTGTAAATGCTGTTGAGGCTGTTAGCTAGTTTCCAGGGAGGCCAAATCATTTCACTAAGGAACAGGATTAAAGTCAAAAATAGAGTTGTACACGTTAAATGGATAGTTTTCGACATTAAATTTCGAGAGTTTCAAAATTGTCATTTGTTCTAAAGGTAAAATGCTTCAGTTATATCTTTAACCTTACCTTGTAAACAGGTCCAAAACCTCCCTCTCCGAGCTTATTTTCTACGGAGAAATGGCCTGTTGCAGCAGAGACACTTGCAAAGCTAAACAATGGCAACTCAACATCTTTCTTCCCCCTTCTCGCTAGATTTTTTCCCGTGTTTGTCTCAGCAGCTGCATTAGCACTAGCACTAAAATCAAATGATAATAAGTCCTCACATGAATCTTCCTTCCCTGTTTATCACAGAACAACAAGCCATTGTCAATTATTTAAAAATCACAGTTTTCTGAAAGATATTAAGCCCCTGAAAGCGACAATTTGTGGTACACGCTTAATCCAAGTCAATTCTAATATGTGTATCCTCAAAAGTTGCTCTTGAAAGAGGTTATGTTTGCATTTCCTAATTAATTTAGGTACATCATGTATTATTTCTTTGAATATGAGATAAAAGTTTTGTGGCTACAGCTTATACCTATTTGTTTGAGCTTTCTCCTGATTAAACAGCATATGAAACCACCGGAAATAAGTACTGCTAGCGTAATCAGCACTGTTATGATCACCCTCAAGTTCTTCCTGTCACCTGAAACGCATATACTAGAAAGTCAAGAATCATGGTTAATCACAATTCAAAATACAATACTGAGTGTAATTTGCAGGAAGACATTGATTGTTGGTCAAAAGTTACTTTTTTTTTTTTTTTGCAGTGACATACCTCCAGGTTTTTGAAGCCCAGAAGCAGCTAGTTTCAGGTAGAGATCTTGTTTAGTACTGTTGCTTCCATCTTGGAGGAGTTGTAGATTCAGTAAAGCCCCTTCCCATACTAAACACCCATTACTAACATAAGCATAAGCTGTGCAAGAACAATTTTGCATGCAAGCTGATTTACACCGTTCAATGCTTCTATCAGGAGCTACTTTTGAATTTTTCGGCAATGCTATGTTCGGAATTTTTAAGAAACTATCAGTCATCCCATTGGTATAAGTACCATTTTGGCACTGCAATGGAGTCTTTCTCACACAACCACCTGACCAATCATTTAGCTTCGTGTCTTCCATTGAGAATGGCTCGAAACCTGGCAAACATTCACAATAGGAGGTCACATTCTCTCTGGAGATCCCAAATGTCCCGCAAAAACCATAAACTTTTGTTTGGAGGGGTTGCTCCCAAAAAGGAGGCCAATCCCAATTCCCAGCGAACCATCTTAGAATCCTCAACTGTCCTGACATATCCATCAGACATCTTATTAAGACAGAAGAAGAATTCACAGTAGAATATGTAACGTAGCTTTCATTTTCGTTTGATATAAAAGTGTAATTGAAGATGTTGATCTCCGGTTTAGGAACATTGTCAAAACTATAACCATTCCAAACTCCGGTACTCCAATACCTTTCGGAGTTGTTCCACTCTATAAAATATCGATTTCTTTCAACTGGATCTATCCCGAATGAAAACCTACCCAGAGCAGGATCTTCTGAGTTTTTCCACGAAGTAAGGACCTGAGTTTTGCCAGTATGTTTATCGATGCCAAGCTTTGCACCAGGCAACAATGTGTCGGTTGGGTGATCAAAACTCTGCCAATATATTGTAGATGGATTCGTAACATCTCTAACTACAAAATTTCCATTGTTTTGAAGCACTGCTTCAGTGGAATTCGACGTTGGTGACACAAAATTTGTTGACCAAATCGGATTTCTAGATAAATTGGTGAGCATGACTAAATTACCATCTCTAGAGAATTCAAGCTTTGAAGAAGACGGTGCAGACAACTTTTGTTCTCTGTTAGCTACCCAAACTATGATCGGCTCGGGAAATTCTCTGAACCATATGCCAAGATAGAGGTTAAGTGGATTACCTTTAGTAAAGAAACCGAGTTCAAAAACGTTCCCTTGAGACACTAGGGTTTGGTTTAGTGAGAGAGACCTGCCCATCAAAAGAGTATCACCTCCAATGGACAAACAAGGCTCGTGTAACATGAACAGAACCAGAGTCCAGAGGAAGAAGCATGGTCTTGTTATAGTGCCATTGTCCTTCATTAGTTGCCACATCTTGGATACCTCAATCTCAATTAGCAAAAATGATGTCGATAAAAAAGAATGAGAAGGAGAAGATACCTAGAGAGCCCGCACACTCACACACATACATTTACTTCCGGTCAATTCAAATAAGGACCAAGGCAAAAAAGACCGGCAAGTTGATTGCAACACTTCAGCGTTGTCACTATTAGCTAATTCTACCCCACTTTTGAAAAGTTTAAGCACACATGACATAGGCTATGAGGCACTGAGTCAAACCTCAAACTTTCACAT